GAAACTAGAAATGCCTTTATTCGTGCAAGTCAATTTAACAATAGCTCTCTCCTTTACACTTGGCTTATCCACACTAAACTGACCATTGATATTCGTCCTTTCAAACGAACTGATACTACCATAGTCATTGCACAAGATACTTGAGTTGATGGGTGTCTGTTTCATTGTGGATGACAGCACCAACGATGACTGAGTGACACAAGGTGATGAACTTAGTGGTGGATCAGAAGCTGTTCTTGTTCGGCTCTCAGATAGTTGTCCAACTGCAAGATTACCACCACTGCTGTCTTTCACTACTAGTTCGGGTTTAGCACTATCATCTGATGATAGGTGGGCTACACGCTGATCAATTACACTGACTGTCTCACAAGTATGCACACCTTTTGGAACTGCATCTGCGTTCAATTCTACTTCACGTTGTAGTTGTACAGAACCTTTATTTAACTTAGCAGTAGTAGGCATATCCCTCATCTCATAATGATCAACCAAAGACAACTGTGAAGTATCATGATCATTATCACGAATATTCACTTTACCGTCAACTTCATCATTTTCAAACTCTTTAATAACAGAAGTAGACAATTTTGGTTCCTCCTCGCAAATCATAAAAGGTTTTATATCTTCACTCTGACTAGTTATACCTTGTAAACTTGTAGGGTCAGAACTGCACTCTGAAGCAGCAACTCTATTCTGTGACACTCTATTCAACAATGGCTTACCAGTTGCAACTACAGACTTCCTGACCACACCGTTATCGTCACACAATTCGGAGTCAGGCTTGGAGTTTACATTTAGCTTATCACTGAACTTGCTCACTGGTTCACAGTTCACCTTTGTATGCACCTCTTGCACACGTGTAAAACACAACCGTGTTTGTCTTGCATCTTGTAACTTATCTGTTGAGGATGTACTACGAAACCTGTTACACTCACTAGATCTATATGCATTAATAGATATCAAGGAGCCTTCTCAATATCCACCTCTCTGAGGCCCTTTCGTCATCAATGATTGCGTTTTACCCTCAGACTGCTCTATTCTAGGGGTGAGATTCAATATACTGGTAAACTTGCTCATCGATTGATTGACACTAGTATTTACCAGTTTCAGGATATCATCAAATTGTGGCTCGATACCGTCATCCTCCATACGGGAACTTATCTTCACCCACTTCCTTTGCAGTCGAGTAGGTAGGCGTCTTGCTATTACTTCTAGTATAAAACTCGAGTTGAGGTCACTAATGCAATTCATAAAAATCAAGGTATTCTTATAAGTCATAAGATTATCTAAAAACTCAGTAAGTGCCTTGGAGTCATCTTGAAGTTGGCTGCCATTACCTTTGACAGCTTCGTATACGTTCCTTACAATCATTGAAGGTCTTCCAAACCATTGACGTAATATGCTCATAGCCTCGTAGTAGCCCTCTTTTGGCTTCATAAACGTACAGCACTGTATAGCTCTTGCAGCATCTCCAGTGCAAAATCTCATCAAATACATTAACTTCAATTCATCATTTAATAAAACACCACTCAACATGATCTCAAACTCCTTTACAAATTGTAAATAATCAGCCGGGTTTCCATCGAAACACCTTGGTTCAAATCTAGGGAGTTTGATGTTCCTATTATCCCTGAACGGCGAAACAGTAACATCAACCATGTCATGCTTAACATCAGACACATCGTTACAAGTAACAGACAAGTCACCATGACTTACTTTCCTGTTTGCATCCAAGACACTCTGTCCCTTCTTTGACCCAGGCATTGTTGAACTTGACCCAATTCCAGAAACGTTCCAGATATTGCTTGTTCAAAGAGGACTTGACCGGCACCAGGAGAGATGAACGGTGACTATCCAAACTTTCACCAACTGTTTGAATCCGCCAGATGTGTTTACATCGTCAGAAACTGTCAATCACGTCTCATAATCCGTTAATGCCCAGCTCTCGCTACGCTCGGGCCCACGCTGTTCTTCGAAGATTTCTCAGAAACGCTGAGTTATAACGGACGCAAAAACCAAAACACTGATCTGCCGCTTTAGATTTGTTTATTGTTACACCAACATATAAAAGGAATAAGCGAACTAAGTAAACTAAGGTCTGAAAACAAATATTACAATAATAAATCTCTGTATTACTTCTGACGATGTTTCACTCTTCTTTCTGAACAGCGACCGATGAGACGATGACTGTCGTATTGATGCCTCCGCAAAAATTGGGGAAGTTGATTTTAAGCAAACAACCAAGAATTGATCGTTCAATCTTCAACTCCATTGACAGTCCGTGTGACCCAGGTTCTCGCAATGGCATCCAAGTCAACGTGTGTTGGTCGTGAAGGGAAAAAGTGATGGATCCCTTTTTTGCCGGGTATTGTCAATGGAGTTGAAGATTGAACGATCAATTCATGGTTGTTTGCTCAAAATCAACATTCCCAATTTTCGCGGAGGCATCAATACGACAGTCATCGACTCATCGGTCGCTGTTCAGAAAGAAGAGTAAAACTTCGTCAGAAATCTTAGTCATACTTAATTTATATGTTGGTGTAACAATAAAGAATTCCCAAGCGGCCAATCGGAGTTTTGGTTTATTCGTCCGTTATTACTAAGCGTTTCTGAGAAACTTCTTTCTCCATGAGTGCCTTCGTCATTCAATCCTACCAAACAGTGTAAGATACAAGCCACCAGTCAACTGCCCAATGGGATGGAAATTGGCCGAACAATGTGGAAGACGAATGGTCAAATTAATGATTACGGACGCACATTATCGGATCAACAAATATCAACAAATAATAGATGTCCAAAAAGCAAAATTAGAGAAAACCCTCAACCAAGAACACCTGTCAACGCTGATCACCGCAATTTCACTGTCAAGTGGAAAACACAGAGAACAAAGACGAAGAGTCCTCAAAACCAAGCTAGCCAAGATTAGAAAACAACAACCAGACAATACGCCCATAGACTGCGTAGTCAACCTATCAAAACAACCACTATCAAAAATGGAACAACAACTACTACAAAAAGGATTAAACTACAACACCGGAGATGCTTCAAAAACTGATTTCTTCGCTGCCCTTGAATCATTACTCAAATCATCAAACTTGAACGAGGAAACACAGGAAGAGATACGCCAAACAATTGTACCAATGGTCAAACAGAAAAGACAACACACACAACTCAACTCTCAAGAACTAAAGGCCCTCAAAAAGCTGAAAAATAGGAAGGACATCGTCATTTTACCAGCCGACAAAGGAAGAACAACAGTAGTCATGGACAGAGAAGAATACACCAAGAAAGCTGAAGAACTACTCAAAGATGAAGATGTATATCAACAACTCCCAACAAATCCCATACAAACATTGGACAACCGCATCCAAAGGACCTTAAACAAGCTCAGCAAAACTGGACAGATCACAAAACAAGACCAATGGCGAATGAAATCCAATGGACCAGTCCTACCTCGATTCTACGGCAGACCCAAAATACACAAGGCAAATATCCCGTTACGACCAATTGTATCACTCCCAGGAACTCCAACATATAATTTGTCCAAGGAATTATACAGAAAACTAAAACACCTAACGGAATCCTGTGATCACTCCATCAACTCTGCTATCCAATTCCTAGAGAAAATCAGAGACATCCAAATAGATGAACAAGAAATAATGGTATCCTTCGACGTGACAGCATTATATACCTCTATCGGACAAAAACTAGCAAAAGAAACCATGGAGCAATTACTTAGCAACGACGAACAACTTCCACAACAATCAAAAATGCAACACACAAGCTGGATGGAATGCATAAATCTATGCCTAACAACATACTTCCAATTCAACGGCCAAATATATGAACAAGTCAAAGGAACACCCATGGGATCGCCAATATCAGGTTTGATTGCAGAAGCAGTGATGCAAAGACTCGAAAACATAATTCTACCAAAGATCAAACCCAAGATTTGGATACGCTACGTCGACGACACATTTGTAATAATCAAAAGAAACGAATTAGACAAAACTCACAACTTAATAAACAACGTCTTCAACGACATCAAATTCACAAGAGAAGAGGAATCCGAGAACAAAATACCATTTTTGGACGTCTTAGTCAGGCGAACAACTACAGGAGAATTAGAAACTCAAGTTTATAGGAAATCAACTCACACAGACCAAATACTGAATTACAACAGCAACAACCCAATAGCACACAAAAGGAACTGCATACAAACACTATTCAAGAGAGCAAGGACTCACTGCAGCACTCCCACCTTAAGAAAAATTGAAGAAAAGTATCTCATGGACGTCTTCCAAAAGAATGGATATCCCCGGAATTTCATCAAGAGACATATACCCCCAAGCCAACCTACCAAAACAAAAGCCACCAAGGAAAACACAAAGAAAATCGCCTTACCATATATAAAGGATATCTCAGAAATCACTAAAAGACTCTTCAAACCTTTAGGAATTGACGTCGTACACAAACCAACAAAGTCGCTGCACTCAATTCTATGTCAACCAAAAGACTCAACAGCAAAAGAAGACAAAACCAACATCATCTACAAAATAAACTGTAACAACTGTGAAAAACACTACATTGGCCAAAGTGGACGTCCCCTTCGTCTTCGTATCCACGAACATAAGCTAGCCGTCAAAAGACATGATATACACTCCCTCATTTCACTACACACAGACAACCACGGACATCAATTCGACTGGGACAACGTTCAAATATTAGACAAAGGAAATAACAAGAATGCTAGAGAATTTTTAGAAGCTTGGCATTCCAGTGAATCATCAATCAATAGACACATCGAGATAGACAAAATTTATCAACCAATAAGAAAGAAACTTCACACACGATTGGCCAAAGTTCAAGTCACAGAAACAATCAGTTCCAACACAAGTAACCTAGAAGGTGTGAAAACATACATAAACAACCAATCACGTCCAAGGTCACCAGGAGGAATGATTAATAAACTCGTGGAGAAACCTAAAAGCTCACTTCAATTTGAAGTATGCGCTGAAGATGTCACCCAGTAAGGTGATGAAAGCTTCGCAAACTAACTATCCAGCTCAGAGAACAAAACCACATCAAAATTATCCACCTGAGCTACAAATCTTCTCTATCATATCTAAATCTTACGAGCGGGATACGCTTCTCTCTGTTCGAAAGTGGGAAGACTTCGCCAAAAGGCAAGGATCCACCAGAGAACAATTATTCTTTCTCCATGAGTGCCTTCGTCATTCAATCCTACCAAACAGTGTAAGATACAAGCCACCAGTCAACTGCCCAATGGGATGGAAATTGGCCGAACAATGTGGAAGACGAATGGTCAAATTAATGATTACGGACGCACATTATCGGATCAACAAATATCAACAAATAATAGATGTCCAAAAAGCAAAATTAGAGAAAACCCTCAACCAAGAACACCTGTCAACGCTGATCACCGCAATTTCACTGTCAAGTGGAAAACACAGAGAACAAAGACGAAGAGTCCTCAAAACCAAGCTAGCCAAGATTAGAAAACAACAACCAGACAATACGCCCATAGACTGCGTAGTCAACCTATCAAAACAACCACTATCAAAAATGGAACAACAACTACTACAAAAAGGATTAAACTACAACACCGGAGATGCTTCAAAAACTGATTTCTTCGCTGCCCTTGAATCATTACTCAAATCATCAAACTTGAACGAGGAAACACAGGAAGAGATACGCCAAACAATTGTACCAATGGTCAAACAGAAAAGACAACACACACAACTCAACTCTCAAGAACTAAAGGCCCTCAAAAAGCTGAAAAATAGGAAGGACATCGTCATTTTACCAGCCGACAAAGGAAGAACAACAGTAGTCATGGACAGAGAAGAATACACCAAGAAAGCTGAAGAACTACTCAAAGATGAAGATGTATATCAACAACTCCCAACAAATCCCATACAAACATTGGACAACCGCATCCAAAGGACCTTAAACAAGCTCAGCAAAACTGGACAGATCACAAAACAAGACCAATGGCGAATGAAATCCAATGGACCAGTCCTACCTCGATTCTACGGCAGACCCAAAATACACAAGGCAAATATCCCGTTACGACCAATTGTATCACTCCCAGGAACTCCAACATATAATTTGTCCAAGGAATTATACAGAAAACTAAAACACCTAACGGAATCCTGTGATCACTCCATCAACTCTGCTATCCAATTCCTAGAGAAAATCAGAGACATCCAAATAGATGAACAAGAAATAATGGTATCCTTCGACGTGACAGCATTATATACCTCTATCGGACAAAAACTAGCAAAAGAAACCATGGAGCAATTACTTAGCAACGACGAACAACTTCCACAACAATCAAAAATGCAACACACAAGCTGGATGGAATGCATAAATCTATGCCTAACAACATACTTCCAATTCAACGGCCAAATATATGAACAAGTCAAAGGAACACCCATGGGATCGCCAATATCAGGTTTGATTGCAGAAGCAGTGATGCAAAGACTCGAAAACATAATTCTACCAAAGATCAAACCCAAGATTTGGATACGCTACGTCGACGACACATTTGTAATAATCAAAAGAAACGAATTAGACAAAACTCACAACTTAATAAACAACGTCTTCAACGACATCAAATTCACAAGAGAAGAGGAATCCGAGAACAAAATACCATTTTTGGACGTCTTAGTCAGGCGAACAACTACAGGAGAATTAGAAACTCAAGTTTATAGGAAATCAACTCACACAGACCAAATACTGAATTACAACAGCAACAACCCAATAGCACACAAAAGGAACTGCATACAAACACTATTCAAGAGAGCAAGGACTCACTGCAGCACTCCCACCTTAAGAAAAATTGAAGAAAAGTATCTCATGGACGTCTTCCAAAAGAATGGATATCCCCGGAATTTCATCAAGAGACATATACCCCCAAGCCAACCTACCAAAACAAAAGCCACCAAGGAAAACACAAAGAAAATCGCCTTACCATATATAAAGGATATCTCAGAAATCACTAAAAGACTCTTCAAACCTTTAGGAATTGACGTCGTACACAAACCAACAAAGTCGCTGCACTCAATTCTATGTCAACCAAAAGACTCAACAGCAAAAGAAGACAAAACCAACATCATCTACAAAATAAACTGTAACAACTGTGAAAAACACTACATTGGCCAAAGTGGACGTCCCCTTCGTCTTCGTATCCACGAACATAAGCTAGCCGTCAAAAGACATGATATACACTCCCTCATTTCACTACACACAGACAACCACGGACATCAATTCGACTGGGACAACGTTCAAATATTAGACAAAGGAAATAACAAGAATGCTAGAGAATTTTTAGAAGCTTGGCATTCCAGTGAATCATCAATCAATAGACACATCGAGATAGACAAAATTTATCAACCAATAAGAAAGAAACTTCACACACGATTGGCCAAAGTTCAAGTCACAGAAACAATCAGTTCCAACACAAGTAACCTAGAAGGTGTGAAAACATACATAAACAACCAATCACGTCCAAGGTCACCAGGAGGAATGATTAATAAACTCGTGGAGAAACCTAAAAGCTCACTTCAATTTGAAGTATGCGCTGAAGATGTCACCCAGTAAGGTGATGAAAGCTTCGCAAACTAACTATCCAGCTCAGAGAACAAAACCACATCAAAATTATCCACCTGAGCTACAAATCTTCTCTATCATATCTAAATCTTACGAGCGGGATACGCTTCTCTCTGTTCGAAAGTGGGAAGACTTCGCCAAAAGGCAAGGATCCACCAGAGAACAATTATTCTTTCTCCATGAGTGCCTTCGTCATTCAATCCTACCAAACAGTGTAAGATACAAGCCACCAGTCAACTGCCCAATGGGATGGAAATTGGCCGAACAATGTGGAAGACGAATGGTCAAATTAATGATTACGGACGCACATTATCGGATCAACAAATATCAACAAATAATAGATGTCCAAAAAGCAAAATTAGAGAAAACCCTCAACCAAGAACACCTGTCAACGCTGATCACCGCAATTTCACTGTCAAGTGGAAAACACAGAGAACAAAGACGAAGAGTCCTCAAAACCAAGCTAGCCAAGATTAGAAAACAACAACCAGACAATACGCCCATAGACTGCGTAGTCAACCTATCAAAACAACCACTATCAAAAATGGAACAACAACTACTACAAAAAGGATTAAACTACAACACCGGAGATGCTTCAAAAACTGATTTCTTCGCTGCCCTTGAATCATTACTCAAATCATCAAACTTGAACGAGGAAACACAGGAAGAGATACGCCAAACAATTGTACCAATGGTCAAACAGAAAAGACAACACACACAACTCAACTCTCAAGAACTAAAGGCCCTCAAAAAGCTGAAAAATAGGAAGGACATCGTCATTTTACCAGCCGACAAAGGAAGAACAACAGTAGTCATGGACAGAGAAGAATACACCAAGAAAGCTGAAGAACTACTCAAAGATGAAGATGTATATCAACAACTCCCAACAAATCCCATACAAACATTGGACAACCGCATCCAAAGGACCTTAAACAAGCTCAGCAAAACTGGACAGATCACAAAACAAGACCAATGGCGAATGAAATCCAATGGACCAGTCCTACCTCGATTCTACGGCAGACCCAAAATACACAAGGCAAATATCCCGTTACGACCAATTGTATCACTCCCAGGAACTCCAACATATAATTTGTCCAAGGAATTATACAGAAAACTAAAACACCTAACGGAATCCTGTGATCACTCCATCAACTCTGCTATCCAATTCCTAGAGAAAATCAGAGACATCCAAATAGATGAACAAGAAATAATGGTATCCTTCGACGTGACAGCATTATATACCTCTATCGGACAAAAACTAGCAAAAGAAACCATGGAGCAATTACTTAGCAACGACGAACAACTTCCACAACAATCAAAAATGCAACACACAAGCTGGATGGAATGCATAAATCTATGCCTAACAACATACTTCCAATTCAACGGCCAAATATATGAACAAGTCAAAGGAACACCCATGGGATCGCCAATATCAGGTTTGATTGCAGAAGCAGTGATGCAAAGACTCGAAAACATAATTCTACCAAAGATCAAACCCAAGATTTGGATACGCTACGTCGACGACACATTTGTAATAATCAAAAGAAACGAATTAGACAAAACTCACAACTTAATAAACAACGTCTTCAACGACATCAAATTCACAAGAGAAGAGGAATCCGAGAACAAAATACCATTTTTGGACGTCTTAGTCAGGCGAACAACTACAGGAGAATTAGAAACTCAAGTTTATAGGAAATCAACTCACACAGACCAAATACTGAATTACAACAGCAACAACCCAATAGCACACAAAAGGAACTGCATACAAACACTATTCAAGAGAGCAAGGACTCACTGCAGCACTCCCACCTTAAGAAAAATTGAAGAAAAGTATCTCATGGACGTCTTCCAAAAGAATGGATATCCCCGGAATTTCATCAAGAGACATATACCCCCAAGCCAACCTACCAAAACAAAAGCCACCAAGGAAAACACAAAGAAAATCGCCTTACCATATATAAAGGATATCTCAGAAATCACTAAAAGACTCTTCAAACCTTTAGGAATTGACGTCGTACACAAACCAACAAAGTCGCTGCACTCAATTCTATGTCAACCAAAAGACTCAACAGCAAAAGAAGACAAAACCAACATCATCTACAAAATAAACTGTAACAACTGTGAAAAACACTACATTGGCCAAAGTGGACGTCCCCTTCGTCTTCGTATCCACGAACATAAGCTAGCCGTCAAAAGACATGATATACACTCCCTCATTTCACTACACACAGACAACCACGGACATCAATTCGACTGGGACAACGTTCAAATATTAGACAAAGGAAATAACAAGAATGCTAGAGAATTTTTAGAAGCTTGGCATTCCAGTGAATCATCAATCAATAGACACATCGAGATAGACAAAATTTATCAACCAATAAGAAAGAAACTTCACACACGATTGGCCAAAGTTCAAGTCACAGAAACAATCAGTTCCAACACAAGTAACCTAGAAGGTGTGAAAACATACATAAACAACCAATCACGTCCAAGGTCACCAGGAGGAATGATTAATAAACTCGTGGAGAAACCTAAAAGCTCACTTCAATTTGAAGTATGCGCTGAAGATGTCACCCAGTAAGGTGATGAAAGCTTCGCAAACTAACTATCCAGCTCAGAGAACAAAACCACATCAAAATTATCCACCTGAGCTACAAATCTTCTCTATCATATCTAAATCTTACGAGCGGGATACGCTTCTCTCTGTTCGAAAGTGGGAAGACTTCGCCAAAAGGCAAGGATCCACCAGAGAACAATTATTCTTTCTCCATGAGTGCCTTCGTCATTCAATCCTACCAAACAGTGTAAGATACAAGCCACCAGTCAACTGCCCAATGGGATGGAAATTGGCCGAACAATGTGGAAGACGAATGGTCAAATTAATGATTACGGACGCACATTATCGGATCAACAAATATCAACAAATAATAGATGTCCAAAAAGCAAAATTAGAGAAAACCCTCAACCAAGAACACCTGTCAACGCTGATCACCGCAATTTCACTGTCAAGTGGAAAACACAGAGAACAAAGACGAAGAGTCCTCAAAACCAAGCTAGCCAAGATTAGAAAACAACAACCAGACAATACGCCCATAGACTGCGTAGTCAACCTATCAAAACAACCACTATCAAAAATGGAACAACAACTACTACAAAAAGGATTAAACTACAACACCGGAGATGCTTCAAAAACTGATTTCTTCGCTGCCCTTGAATCATTACTCAAATCATCAAACTTGAACGAGGAAACACAGGAAGAGATACGCCAAACAATTGTACCAATGGTCAAACAGAAAAGACAACACACACAACTCAACTCTCAAGAACTAAAGGCCCTCAAAAAGCTGAAAAATAGGAAGGACATCGTCATTTTACCAGCCGACAAAGGAAGAACAACAGTAGTCATGGACAGAGAAGAATACACCAAGAAAGCTGAAGAACTACTCAAAGATGAAGATGTATATCAACAACTCCCAACAAATCCCATACAAACATTGGACAACCGCATCCAAAGGACCTTAAACAAGCTCAGCAAAACTGGACAGATCACAAAACAAGACCAATGGCGAATGAAATCCAATGGACCAGTCCTACCTCGATTCTACGGCAGACCCAAAATACACAAGGCAAATATCCCGTTACGACCAATTGTATCACTCCCAGGAACTCCAACATATAATTTGTCCAAGGAATTATACAGAAAACTAAAACACCTAACGGAATCCTGTGATCACTCCATCAACTCTGCTATCCAATTCCTAGAGAAAATCAGAGACATCCAAATAGATGAACAAGAAATAATGGTATCCTTCGACGTGACAGCATTATATACCTCTATCGGACAAAAACTAGCAAAAGAAACCATGGAGCAATTACTTAGCAACGACGAACAACTTCCACAACAATCAAAAATGCAACACACAAGCTGGATGGAATGCATAAATCTATGCCTAACAACATACTTCCAATTCAACGGCCAAATATATGAACAAGTCAAAGGAACACCCATGGGATCGCCAATATCAGGTTTGATTGCAGAAGCAGTGATGCAAAGACTCGAAAACATAATTCTACCAAAGATCAAACCCAAGATTTGGATACGCTACGTCGACGACACATTTGTAATAATCAAAAGAAACGAATTAGACAAAACTCACAACTTAATAAACAACGTCTTCAACGACATCAAATTCACAAGAGAAGAGGAATCCGAGAACAAAATACCATTTTTGGACGTCTTAGTCAGGCGAACAACTACAGGAGAATTAGAAACTCAAGTTTATAGGAAATCAACTCACACAGACCAAATACTGAATTACAACAGCAACAACCCAATAGCACACAAAAGGAACTGCATACAAACACTATTCAAGAGAGCAAGGACTCACTGCAGCACTCCCACCTTAAGAAAAATTGAAGAAAAGTATCTCATGGACGTCTTCCAAAAGAATGGATATCCCCGGAATTTCATCAAGAGACATATACCCCCAAGCCAACCTACCAAAACAAAAGCCACCAAGGAAAACACAAAGAAAGTCGCCTTACCATATATAAAGGATATCTCAGAAATCACTAAAAGACTCTTCAAACCTTTAGGAATTGACGTCGTACACAAACCAACAAAGTCGCTGCACTCAATTCTATGTCAACCAAAAGACTCAACAGCAAAAGAAGACAAAACCAACATCATCTACAAAATAAACTGTAACAACTGTGAAAAACACTACATTGGCCAAAGTGGACGTCCCCTTCGTCTTCGTATCCACGAACATAAGCTAGCCGTCAAAAGACATGATATACACTCCCTCATTTCACTACACACAGACAACCACGGACATCAATTCGACTGGGACAACGTTCAAATATTAGACAAAGGAAATAACAAGAATGCTAGAGAATTTTTAGAAGCTTGGCATTCCAGCGAATCATCAATCAATAGACACATCGAGATAGACAAAATTTATCAACCAATAAGAAAGAAACTTCACACACGATTGGCCAAAGTTCAAGTCACAGAAACAATCAGTTCCAACACAAGTAACCTAGAAGGTGTGAAAACATACATAAACAACCAATCACGTCCAAGGTCACCAGGAGGAATGATTAATAAACTCGTGGAGAAACCTAAAAGCTCACTTCAATTTGAAGTATGCGCTGAAGATGTCACCCAGTAAGGTGATGAAAGCTTCGCAAACTAACTATCCAGCTCAGAGAACAAAACCACATCAAAATTATCCACCTGAGCTACAAATCTTCTCTATCATATCTAAATCTTACGAGCGGGATACGCTTCTCTCTGTTCGAAAGTGGGAAGACTTCGCCAAAAGGCAAGGATCCACCAGAGAACAATTATTCTTTCTCCATGAGTGCCTTCGTCATTCAATCCTACCAAACAGTGTAAGATACAAGCCACCAGTCAACTGCCCAATGGGATGGAAATTGGCCGAACAATGTGGAAGACGAATGGTCAAATTAATGATTACGGACGCACATTATCGGATCAACAAATATCAACAAATAATAGATGTCCAAAAAGCAAAATTAGAGAAAACCCTCAACCAAGAACACCTGTCAACGCTGATCACCGCAATTTCACTGTCAAGTGGAAAACACAGAGAACAAAGACGAAGAGTCCTCAAAACCAAGCTAGCCAAGATTAGAAAACAACAACCAGACAATACGCCCATAGACTGCGTAGTCAACCTATCAAAACAACCACTATCAAAAATGGAACAACAACTACTACAAAAAGGATTAAACTACAACACCGGAGATGCTTCAAAAACTGATTTCTTCGCTGCCCTTGAATCATTACTCAAATCATCAAACTTGAACGAGGAAACACAGGAAGAGATACGCCAAACAATTGTACCAATGGTCAAACAGAAAAGACAACACACACAACTCAACTCTCAAGAACTAAAGGCCCTCAAAAAGCTGAAAAATAGGAAGGACATCGTCATTTTACCAGCCGACAAAGGAAGAACAACAGTAGTCATGGACAGAGAAGAATACACCAAGAAAGCTGAAGAACTACTCAAAGATGAAGATGTATATCAACAACTCCCAACAAATCCCATACAAACATTGGACAACCGCATCCAAAGGACCTTAAACAAGCTCAGCAAAACTGGACAGATCACAAAACAAGACCAATGGCGAATGAAATCCAATGGACCAGTCCTACCTCGATTCTACGGCAGACCCAAAATACACAAGGCAAATATCCCGTTACGACCAATTGTATCACTCCCAGGAACTCCAACATATAATTTGTCCAAGGAATTATACAGAAAACTAAAACACCTAACGGAATCCTGTGATCACTCCATCAACTCTGCTATCCAATTCCTAGAGAAAATCAGAGACATCCAAATAGATGAACAAGAAATAATGGTATCCTTCGACGTGACAGCATTATATACCTCTATCGGACAAAAACTAGCAAAAGAAACCATGGAGCAATTACTTAGCAACGACGAACAACTTCCACAACAATCAAAAATGCAACACACAAGCTGGATGGAATGCATAAAT